CCCTGCTAAATATATACAAAAAATTAACAATATATTCTAAACTACAACTTTTTAAAATATGAGAATTGCTGTTTTTTCTTTCTATTAWAGAAGGAAGTAAGCCTGAATCAAACATTTTCCTGCCTTAATACTTTTATTTTTATATCCTCTGTTCTTATGTGAAAGACTTAGACTAGGCTATCCAGCATATTTTCCTAAGTTCTGTTTTGAAAGCATGGGAATCTTATGTTGTGTGACAGGCARTTTGATTGAATAAGCAACTTTCTTTTTTAAACCTTCATTGTTTTTCAGTTTTTATGTCTTTATTTTTTGCAGCCCASTTGTAATGTACCATATCCATACTTTTGTTTGGAAAAAAGTTACTTGTGCCCAATGCGTTTTTATCCATGAAACAAGATGTTAATACAGAAGTGAATAGACACAGCCTGAAGCCCCTATTTAATTTTGTAGATCATGACTGTGAGTTTTATGTATTAAATTTGATAATCTTGATTTGTATTTGCCCACTGTGCCACCCCCAGCTCCTGGGTATTTTTGTGTGCGTGGTGAGAGAAGACCAGAACYGAGTAGGCTGATTGGAGTTTATAGCTGACCTATCTAGAGGGATTGGCATTTTCCTGCTATGTGGCATTTACCTTGCATGTAACCCACAATTGCAGATTTATCTAATGCAGCATCTGAACTATTCCACAATGTTGTTATTTCGTGATTTTCTGTATTCCTGTACTTAAGTATTAAGGAGCAGAACTTCTTTTTTTTCCCTATATGAACCTCATCTTTGTGGTGGTCATGATTTTTAGTTTTGTGTTATCACCTGCAAAATATTACTACTATAGTTAGTATTTGCATATTTTATTTTAAAAATTAATGCATTTTTTGTAGGCTTGATCCTTTAACAGTAACTACCATATTGGAAGTAAATGTGAGAAATTGTATTTTCAGTTACTTTCAGTTCTCATGTTTTTGTTCTGGTGCCTCTTGACCATTTTTACTAATGATGTCACCTGTGAGGAGATTATAATTATGTATCAGTAAATTCTTTTAATTTAACAAGAGAAATATTTAGGTTAAACAATTTTGAAGCAAGACTAATAGTGTTTTAATCACTTTCAACAACTAAGAGGTCTGAGAATAAAATTTGGGTATTTTAAAAGAAATTGATTGTAAAAGTATTTTTATATGTGGGCTCTAGGTGGCAGGATTGTCCCGTGTTCTTGAAATTCACGGCAGTAGGGACTTGAATAGCAATTTGAAAAAGGCAAGGTGTGCTAGGCTAATGGCAACTAATGAGGTGCTCCTCATTAGTCCTTCAGATGGAACAGGAGAGTGGGTTTGGAGTGGCTCTGCACCAGTGCCGTGCTACAGCTTGAGTGCCCAAACTCCCCTTCACCCAGGAYTGGCTTCCTTAGTAAAACTGGGCAGACTTTTATTTCTGCTAGGCACTACTTTCTGAGTATAGCACTTAAAGATGGACCAGATTAAAAAAATTCTATTTATATTGAGCAATAATGAATCTTGTTYTGTCTGTAGGTTCCTTGAATTTGACCAAAAAATCTGCAGAATAAAGCATTATGTTTCCTGAAAGAATATTTAGGACAGGTATAAAGTAACTCCTTAAACACTGCTTAGTAGCATAACTACTAAAAAGTTATGTATTTCCATATGCTGCATTCATAGGRGAAATAAACTAGGATTATTATCACCGGGTTTGGCATTTTTGAGATTTTATGCTGTGCTCTATCTTCAGCGTTGCTGCTCTTCCACACTTCTGAATTAACATTTCAAATTAAATGTTTCAGTAGTCTTTCATATAATATTCTTGCTGTAAAAATTTTGTGCAGATAACATGGAACAAGTGAGAATTGGACTTTTTTACTGAAAACATAGTCCACAAATATCCAAGGCTCATAGCTGTTTTTTCAGTTCAGCTTTAACAACACACAATTAACTTCTTCAATGGAAAATATAGAAATGCCCAGAGTAACTTTTGGTGAAAGGGAGTGTCTGATTTTTATTTTTTGCCCCCAGGTGGTTGTTGTAACAATCTCCTATGTGGCAGTGTCCTTCTTCTGTGCCCCAGCATGGTTTGTCCAGGTCAAAAGTGTGCAGGGAGCAGTTTGAGAGAGCCATAGATGGTGCAGTGCTTTAGTACTTGCTCTGAATTACAGGAGCAGGGAGGAGAGAAAGTCAACTTTAAAGTTGGTGAACATTTGCSAACTGAAGATACATATTCTGAGGCATAGGAGTGTGCTGCCTTAAATGWTTTTTTACTTTTTGATTTGAATTCCAGATTTAAATATGTGCTTTAAATTTAGATGTGCAAAATATTTTCTTTGAAAGATACAGTTTATCACTTCATGTTCCTTATGAGCAGTGTTTTAATTTCTGCTGTACTTTTAYGAGGCCATCTGAATACTGTTTTCATTTTTCTTGTCATGCCATGTATAGGAATTACTGAAAATGTGTGATGGGAATATTGCCTTTTTGGTACAGCATCATGCCTTTCAGTCTGTCAGTGGCTGCAAAGGATTTAGCAGTATGTCTGAGCATATCAAGCAAATGTGTAAAGAAATGTAGTAGGGGCTCAAGTCTTCCTTCTCCAGCCCTGCTCTAAGTTTGGACAAYGTTTACAGCATTCTGCAGCTCTAGATTTTCCTGGGATGCATGTCCAAGAAATCCTTATTGTCAGTTCAAAAAGGTTTATATGGGGCGTTTTAGGCTTCTCTCTCTCTGCAGTGAAACACCAAAATGTAAATCTGATTAAAATTGGTTGCAACATAGCTACAGGGAAGTTTTAAAACAGTATGAGCCATATTGTGTAACAGTGTATATGCTCCTAGTTTTACATGTTAGATTTAAGTTTATATTTTTGTCAGATGATTGAGATGAACTTTTCTTCAATTAAATTTTCCTCAGGAGTTTGTTCTATGAAGCTGTAATCAATGCTTATCCTTGATGGTCACTAGAAAAATGATGGTATTAGAAAAATACTTATTTTTACTACCATGATAAAGCTGCTGTAGTGTCTAGAAGACTTTGTTAATGAGCATTAGGTGTATCGTGAGCTACGGAAATTGAAGACTGCAAATTTTTATGATAAACTGTGATATATTGAGATGGATGTATTTTTATTGTAAAAGAAATGTAGTTAGTGGTGTGACTTCATTAAGCCTTCCTCAGCAGAGCAGTCTGATCTGAACTGGCCCTGGAATTTCTCCAAAACCAGCCTGGTATTAATTAACACCAGTGACAGTAACTTGACTTGGTTGTGTTAGTCACTATGTTAGATAGAGCATCTGTGCATAGAAACAAATACTTTTATGTTCCGGGTTTTTTTCCCATCTTCATTTCTGCCCTGTTCCCCAGATCAAAAGTTTTTGGTAATAAAAACGTTGCATTTGATTATGAAGTTTAACTAAATCTAGGGCAGAAGCTAAGGGATATTCATATGCTGATCTCTGAAGGGATGAAGAATGAAAAYTTTGCAGTCCACAACTCTGCAGGGCTTTCCAGATCAGCAGTACCTGCACTGGACTTCCTCCTCAATCATTTTCCTGTCACAGTAAAGTAATCCCACATCCCTGACCAAGCCAGCAGCAGCAAGAAGATGATGTTAGTTTGAGTGCTTGTTAAAATACTGCTGGTTTCTTCCCCCTTCCAAACAGACATTAGCTGTGGCCTTGGGGGACTTACATTTTCATGCTGTGGAAAAAAGACATCAGCAAGAACACTTCTAATTCCCTGCTTATTAGTGGCTTGTTTTCAGCAGATGGTAGAAAAAATCTTGTGGGTTTTTTTACCTGAGTTTGGTCCAGGACATGCAATTTACGGCAATTAAAATCCCTTATGTTTGAAGGCCTTTGAAAATTTCATAAATTGAAATTCAGAATCACTGTAAGACTATGTTAACTGTCAGTTTTGTGAGTAAAATATSGATGTGAGACCTGGTTGTAGCTTCCTTAAGGCTGGAAAAAAATTTGGCCTCTGTGTGGACAGTCATTCTTAAAACATTGCTCCTCTTGTTAATTAGTTCCTCCTTGTGAGTATCAGAAGATGGAGTAGCTTTGTTTCTTAGTGACAATGTGTGATAAAGCACAGCAGTGACAAGAAWTGTGATTGATATGCTGTCCAGGCCACAGTTTGGGAGAAATCTGAATTTCCAACAAAAACTTACATTTTAGACTTTGGGTACTCTTGYATAATTACTGCTGCATGGCTTGCAGCTCTTTAAATATTTTTTTCCCAGATTTTTCTGACTGAAAAGAACYTTAAATGCAGTTTTGTGTGAGTTCTTTCAGACTTTGTCAGAAGAACTGGGTGTGCTCAGGGAAAGACTTGGCTTTTAAAAGTGATTTCTGGGGGTCTTCCAGTTCCTGCCTTGCTGGCTTGGAGTGGGTTGACAAGATGCAGACTGAGRTTAAGTGAATGGCCTTAGGCAAGCTTTGCAGTACAACTTTATCTAAGTGAATTTCTACAAAATTCACCCTAGAAGTTTTTGTTTTGTAATTCACGTGTTTATTTCATGTGTTAACACTGCTTCAATGTTAATACACAATACTCTGGACAGTGTAAGCATTTTGTAAATGTTCTGAAGCAGTAAAAAAAAAAAAGCCATTTTCCCTAATTGATAAAAGGTTACTTTTACTGATAAACTTACTGAAAATTTATATTAGTGACAAATGTGTACACCTAACTCTACAKCTTATAGTTTGCAAGTGCTTTGAGAAGAGTTTGGTTTACCTTGTGGTGTAATGAAGCCAGTTAGATTTAGCAGGTGTGGACCTTAAAGAATACGGGGTAGCARTGATGCCTTAAAACTCTGTTAATGTTTGGATCCTATTACAGAAAAGGGATCAGAAATCCTCTATTTAGAAAATTGGTGCACTGGTTTTGGTTTTTGATGAAACATCAGTTACCCAAATGGTGTCTTCTACCTGTGTGGTTGTTATGTGAAGTGCAGATGGTCAGCAAGGTTCACAGGTATCTGGTATCTTTTTCAGAACTTTGCCAAGAATATTTTTGCAATTCTTCAATCAGTGAAAGCCAGAGAAGAAGGCCGAGCACCTGAGCAGAGACCTGCACCAAACACAGCACCKACGGTAAGAGCCACGCTTGGATGAGCACAAGGGCTGGGACACCAAAATTGTCTGCTCAGTATTAGATACACAATTTGTTTTGGTTTCCTTCCAACAAATACACATTTTTCAAGCATAACTTCACAGCTCTGCTTTGACTTAAGTTGCATTTATTGGTATTTAAAGAGTTGAATATATTAGTTTAATTTGTTCAATATGCTCTTGTTATTGAGAGATGAATCTGCTGGTGCCAGCTCCTGCATCTCCCAGGCACCAGCCACATGCTGCATCTATTTGCAAAAAATGTATTCGACGAGAGTGCTGCCATTTCAAATGAAATGTTTTGCTGCTTTTCTGACAGATAGGGTAGCAAATGTTGAAGAATCTGGAGCATGACTCATGAGTGGGAACAGCTCGAACCGGCTTTCTCTTGCCTGTAATAAATCAGGACATACTTAGAGCTTTATTGTTTAATTCTGTCTAGGTATTGGATTGGGTTTGTTTAGAATGGTGGTGTTTACTATTGTGTTCCATTAAACCTAATATATCTTTGAACATGATGGAAGTCTGCTCGAAGAGCTGCTTAATCATACTTGGTTTTGGTTTTGCTGCTAGTGCATTTAACAAAGAACTAAATTGACATAGCAAGATGAATTCCAACATGTAAATATTTGCTTTGTGTTGAATTTCTTATATTGTGCATGGCATTATTCAAATGTCCCACTCAGAGTAGTTGTGAATACATAACTAAGCCATCCACAAAAATGATTGAATTGGTATTGACTGTGCCTCTAGATTGGTGCTTTTTAAAAAATTTTCCCCAGAATGCCTTTTTTTCCTCAAAATTTGTGTTTATTTATTTTATTTAGGAAAATTTTAACTTAATCAGGCTGACAAGGGAAATTTTATGTGGCTGAAGCCTTAGTCATGAATTGTTAGTTGATATTTTTTTCCCTGTCAATTCTTTAAGTAAAACAAAACTCAGTGATTTCATTAAATGTAGAGATTTTAGTAATGTAGTTWGTTACTGTTTGCTATTTTAGTTTTGCCTCGGGTTGTTCTCTTTGCATTCAGTACGAGCTTCTAAACTCTTTCTGTAAGATTGTAAGTGGATATTGAATGGAAGTTCTTAAATGCATTGAAACTGGTACAAAAGTGAACTAGTTTTATACTCTTGAGTAGTTCTATATAATACATCATGAAATTCATAAACCATCAAATATCTTTTAGTATCTTTTACAAATCTTACTTAATTTGTTTTAGGATCCCACTTTACGAAATAAGCAACCTATCCCAGCTGCCTACAACAGATATGATCAGGAAAGATTTAAAGGCAAAGAGGGTAAGTTGATTGCCATGCTTCTTTCAAAAGAAAATAAAAATTGAGAACCAAAACTGACAAGTCATAAAGTTCATATTAGGGGATTTTCTCTGCTATTATTTCACAAACCGATGAAAAGACAAAAAAAAAGAACTGTAACTGTGCCTAAAGATAGCTTTTCCAAGTAATAAAATCCAAAGGTCTTATTTCTTAGAAATTACTTCTACCTCTTAGGAAGCAAACCRAAAGCTTAAAACTAGAACCTGGGGGAAAAAGAAAATTTATTTGGGGAAGGTCCCATGCAATTGATGGAAAAGCACAAGTGCAAGGATGACTGTCAGGTGCATAGCATGAAATAGATTCCCTACCYTCAAACAATCACAGTAACTTTAAAAGTTTCCTCCAGTAATTCCAAGTAAATATTATTTAGTTGTGTCTATTTAAATTAAAAACCAAACTGGGAACAGCAGTGCAAAATATGAGTGCCCTTGTGGAAATAATCTACAATAGTGAAGAATTCTCACCAGTTTTAAAATATGGTGAAGCATTGAACTTGAGTGATGATTTGTCTTTCTAATGCAATTTTTCTCCTGTCCCCATTGCTTTTTAAATCTTGTTTTTAGCACACGTTCCATTACTTCACTTTCATGTCTTGCTGGGGTTTTATTTTGCAATCATGTGTTTGTTGTGCTTGGATGGTTTTGTGCTTCTTGCAGAAGGTCATGCAAATTTTGTTACACTTGTGAATTGCCTCTTCCTTCTAGGGCACAAACAAAGTAATTGTTTGAAACTTCCCATGTATGATTTGAAGGGATTTCTCTAATGAAACTAATGAAACTTCCCATGTATGATTTGAAGGGATTTCTATTCTGGTTGCAAGGACTTTCATGCTGCTAAATACCATTTTAAACTGTAGGTGAACAATTCAGCTTGCATCTTTTAGAATATTTAGCTTTGTCCAAGTTATTGCCAGTTTTTGTTCAGGGAAACTGTAGCCAAGTCATCTCTGAAATGATTTAAATGAAAAAAAATAGTTTTGTAAAGATACATTTACATGTGAATACATCCTTTATGTTTATGGGGGTGTTTGTTTGTGTATGAAACTTCCTRTGGGAAATTTGGTCAGATATTGTATTGTATCCTCTTGAAGCCTATTCCCTGTTGGCCTCAATGTGCTTGTATTTCAGTGCAGTGCTTTTATTTACTAYTGCTCATTGTCAAATGCATGGTGGGATGAAGAAAAAAGCCAAAGCAGGATGTTTGGAAGCTTTATCAGTACTGGAAAATAATCTAAAGTAGTTTYCATGAAGAATTAATTGTTGTAAGAAAAACCAAGAGAATTTGGGAAAGAAAGGAACAAAAATAAGAAAGGTTAATTCAACCCTTCCATGAATATTTTTACAAGTTTCCTTCTCTTAATATCTTAAAACTTCAAAACTTACTCATTTGTTAAGTGGTTTCCCTTTTATTACCATTTCCTATTAAGATCTAAAAGCAGTGAATATTTAAACTGGACAGGATGAAATAAAAGGCAGAGGATGAAATTAGTGGGCAAATGTAGAAGTTCAAATATACCAAAGCCTGTAATTCATTGTGGACTCCTTTACAGCCAGAAGTTCAGGTACAGGGATGGTCTGTGCCCTCCTTGCTGACMATGACATGGTTCTGGGCAGGAATCCTGCAGGCAGCATCTGTGCTGAACAGCTGGCTGGATTTTTTGCTTTTACCACATGTGTGGTTCAAGAGGGAGCAGGAAATAACAGGTTTTGCATGGAAGGAAAGAACCCAGAAGAGTTTGTGGAACAGCTCATCAGTGTGAGCTTAATGTAGAAAYTTCTGAGCAGAAAGCAAAGAGGAGATCAGGTGACTGACAGGGAAAAAGAAGATTGTAATTAGCAATGGTGAAAAATCCATTTCAGTGTTGATTCTGAGAATGTGGTGTTGTGGTTTTGTCAGTGCTGAAATGGGATTTACTGGATTGCAGTCCCAGCTGAAAGATTCCTTTGTGATGAAATCCTGAAATGGTCACATTCTACCTCGGTAATTTTCATTGTCACACTCTTCACTTTAGAGTGTGTTTATGCACCTCAACTTTCTGGTTACTTATATTTGGTTTAGTCACATACAAAGTTAATTTTGTACTTCAGGTTTCTAGGTGTATTTAAAGAAGTACATAGGTTAAGAATAGCARTGGTGTAATACCAAGTTAGCTAAGTGTAGGCTAGCACTGGAACTATAAATGAGGTGTTGGAAAGAAGGTATTTTAAACGTGAGATTGACTTACAAAGGTTCTGGTACATCACTGATGGARGTTACATGGAATTAGTAATCAACATCTGGAATTCTTAGGAGAGATCCTAGAGGTATTTTGAGATCTTCCTTGGCTACAAATTAACTTTAGAAAATAGCGAAGATCTTATTTACTTCTCGGGTATTCTGTTGTAAAAGTAGAACTTTTAAATTTTAGTCCTAACTGGAACTCCAAGTGCAGGTGGTTTTCCAAAGTCCTGTTTAGGCACTTATGCACTGGTAATGTCATTTACTTAAAAAGGGAGAGTGCAGAGCACTTGCAGCTCTGTSCCAAGTGAACTCATTCCTTACAGGATTTTTAATTTAGTTGCCTTCAAAATGAAGTTATGACTCCCAAATACTCAGTRTAGAAGTGAGATTACAAGCAGAAATAGCCATCGATACAAATAAAATAAGGCATTTTTTGGTCCTTAAACAGTGTTTTTTTTACAGTAACTTTAGTAGGGACTTGGAATTGCATGTGTTTATGGAAAGGTTGTGATATTGGGACTTTTGGGAAACAAGTCTGAAGGAAAAGAATGGTGATTATTTAAGTTCAAAGCATAATAACTTGCAGTCCACGTTTATTAGTAATGAGGTATGACACTTATTATAAAGTTGAACCCTGTAGATTTCTGACGGGTTTCCACGCTTTGCCCTGACTGCCAGAAATTGGCCACAGATTGTGGAAGGCAGGATTGTGTGATGCTTGTAAACAGTGGGCACAGTGACAATGTCTTCAAGCTTTTCTCTTTGTGTCTCACCTGTTTGCTCTTTCATSAGAGATATTGAAATCCTAGGAAGGGTTCACAGTCTTCCTCTAGTTGCAGCAGGATTGGGGCATATTGCCTACCTTCCTTTATGTATGATACTACAGTATTTAAAGTTAGTCAGCAAAGAGGTGAACTGGGGTTTTTTTTTAATATTTGTGTGCTTTAATACAGAATTTTTCCATTAGCAACCTTGTCCTTAGCATAAGAAATTCAAAGCTTGTAGAGCTGAGAGTAAATTTAGGAATTTTAACATGCATTAAGTAAACTGTTGAGTTGCAGCCAAATTTCTCTTCTTCTTGTGATGGATCATTATTTCTGATGCGGTGTATCAGAATGCCTCTCTGGTTGACTGACTTAAAATTTGCATGCCAGATGGGACAGGCTTTGCTGCTAGAGTGGTTTAATAGTCAGTGTGAGGGGGTGGTAATTGTGCTGTGCTTGAAGAGCAAACATTGAGTTCCACATGCAGTCAGTGGGATTGCTCAGGCAGCCCAGGGACAGGGCTGGATGCCTTTTGTCCAGCAGGGGCTTGGTCCAGCTTTGGTCAGGCAGGACAGAGAAACCTTTCCTTTGCCATTCTTCATGTTCTGTGATGTRTGCTAGAGGAAATGTGTTAGAGTGTTGTTTGCAGTAGGACTTGCACATTCTGGATATTTCCACATGGAAATGGTTGGCAGTGACCCCATCCTGCCCCTCAAATGTTTTTGAGRTGAACTCCTTGCAATCACTTTCCTTGGATGCTCTTTCCTTCCTGTTGGTTTGGTTTCTTTYAAGCTGGCAGTTAATGATGGTGTCTTCTCTTCAACAACACAGAGCTCCATCCCGTGTTAAACTTACTTTACTTCTTACCTTTGTAATTTTATTCCTTTCCTTCTTATTACTCCYTTAARCTTYTTTTTATGCTTTATTAAWGTGCAYCTTCACTRTTGKTGAAATGTTTTCAYGCAAGAGTCTTSTTCAAACTGCAGTCTGTCATAYCTTTTTGAGCAACATAATTTTAAARTMTTTWYYGGGATTTAAAAATCCTSTGCTCAAATGTCATTTCATGCTTAGGAAGGTATCTTGCATCCTCTYCTGTYTGATATTTAAATACRCGTTTATTTATGTATATGTTTTGGATGCTGTACCTTGTTTTCCCCCCATTTTCTTGGGTGGGTTTAGCTCAGAGGATCCTTTTCACATGCTTGTTTGTTCTGTACTTTCAAAGTGTGTAGTAGTGCTGGGATAATCTTGAAGCTGTAACATTTTTGTGACCCATTGAGTGCATCTCTCAGTACAGGTGGCAAAGTCAAGTTTCCCTGTGCTATTTCAAGGTTAGGTCTTTTAAGCTTATTCAAGGAGCATTCTTGTTTATCTGTTACTKTTGTTCTCAAGGTTTCAGCATAGCAGAAGCCAATTCTTATTACTCCCCCAAAACAAAACAAAACAGCCCCAAAACCTCCACCRATATTGAGTCCTATTTAGTGTAAATCAGAGAGTCTTGCTGTACAGCCACGCGATTTCAGCACATAATGGTAAAAAGAATGTTGACTGCATTCAAGTCTTTCCTTCAGAAAAGCTTGCTGTTGACTTCCTGTTATTGTCATTTTATGTTTTATTTATAATGTTATTGGATTTTCAGACATAGCTGCTGTTTTCCAGAAGTTTGCCTAGCTTTCAATCAGTCCTAAGTGCTGAGCCCAGGCAACAGAGGACTGTCAAGTTATTACATTTGAGGTGACTCTGGACCATAACATTTTGTTTCTCTCAACTATACATTGTTTAGAAAGTTTCTTTATGAAGCATGTCTCATTCTAAGTTCTTTTCTTTTAAATTGTGTGATACCCTTTTACACAGGGAGAGTGGAACTGGTAGCAGGACATAGCAGGTTCTGAAGTTTTTTAGTTTGACCTGTTAGACTTTTATTTATTGCATTCACTTCTAAGATGATAGGATTCTGGGTTTTCTTCCCTAGCAGAGAGTATGTGCAAGAGATGGACGCTTGGAAAAAGAATGGGTCTGGCTGTATTTTCTGGCTTTGTGTGACCAAGTACTGGTCAGCACTGTACATTCACTTCTGTGCTGGAAAACGCACATGGATTAATACTGTAATAGTTTTTAACTGTGAGAAATTTAAGATGKTGGTGTTAATTACTGGTAAGATTATTACAGAGCTGTTACATATGAATTGTACAGAGAATTTGTGAAGTAATTGGAGCTTAGAAATTTAGGTGTGAAACTTTTACTTGTTAGGKTACCAGTATTGTAGAAAAGTGCTCAGTAAACTCTTGTGCAGAGTGAAATTTGGTGTCAGGGTTTAAATTACTGGGGCTGTGAAGTGGGGTGGTGAATCATTTCCAGGCAGTCTGCAGAGTGTTGCTATCTGGGGCTTGAAGAGTATACAGCTGAAAAAAGAAGTGGTTATTCAGCCTTATTCATCCACGATTCAAACCAAGTCTTTAACTTGAGCTCCTCAGTGTTTGAGACATGCGGCTTTGTTCTGTTTTTATTTCCCTTGACTTCCTTCCAGAAATTCAGGTTAATTTGAGTCTTTTTAAAGCTTTTATTCTTTTGGTAATGTAGCAGAGCTCAAGTTTGTACCRGGATTGGATGACTTGAGCTGCAGCAGGTGCAGAATCAAAGTGCAGAGTGACCTAGATGGATGTGGAACAGTGGCTTTAAGCAAATGGAAGGCACTCTGAGCATTAATACCTGTTTGCAAGGAAATGGAACRTGCACCCTAATGGTGAKGGMCAGTAAAATCAGTCCAAAAAGCTGWTGCATTAGGGTGCATATTTTCGTTTCCAGGTCTAATTATTTTAAACAAGAAAAGGTACTCAGATTGATATATGGTGATGCTAGAAAGGTAAATAGGGATGAACCACACTGGAAATGTTTATGGTTCTTTTACCAGCCTTTAGGTCATGGAACTGTGAAACTGTGACCATAATACATGCAATGACTGGAGAAAAAATAACCCCTGGCGCTAGTTTATGTTTTGAAGCATTAGAGTTGTTTATTCAGTTCTAGTTATTATGTTTAGTCTCTCAAGATGCAGTCTGTAAGACATCTGTTGATGTTGGTGTTTTTAACAGTGCATATATTTCTAAAACTGATTATATTTGGCAAACAAAAGGTTGCAGTTCAGTTTTTCATGACAAAATTATTGTTGGGCTTTGCTTGCATTCTTTAGTCCTATAAACGAATCTTGGCCAAGCATCACCATTTCATCTCTGTGCATGACTCAGGTTGGAGCATGACTCAGCACAGGTTGGAGCTGCTTTGGGAGGGAGAGGAGAGGCATTGCTTTTGTGATTTTGGAAGGTACAGCACAGCAGTGCTGCTGCTGTGTGCTGAGGGCACATCCCTGGGGCTCCAGGTCACTCTTTGCTCTGCTCTGCTCCTCTTTTCTCTGGCCCATGGTTCCTCCTGTCTCCAGTTCTGCTTTTGAACAGCTGCATCAGGCTCAGCCCCTGGCCTCTGGAAGAAGTGTTGCTGCTTYCCAGCCTGGTCCTTGAATATCTTYTGCAGCATTAACCTGGCTAACACCRTCAGCAATTTYTGAAGTGGGAATGCAGCTGGARCTGTGGAGTCCCTGACCTGGWCTCCTTTGTTTYCTSCTTTGCATGGGCTGTGCAYGGTGGAGCTGAGGGTGCTGCTGCARGYGGCCAAGTTGAGACYTTACAAAATGGTACAAACATGCAAGGGGCAGGGCTCTTGCTGGTAGCAGTGTTTGTGTCTGTGAGAGAAGTGCTTGGCTGACAGGTACAATATCACATGGTGCAGCTGASAGGAGAGGATCAGAAAAGCTGTGTTCTGAGAAAAGTGTCCATGCTCTTACTGCTTCAGGGGGAACTTGCCATGGCCCCCTGGAAGCTGCAGGTGCTTAACTCTAATTCAGCAGTTGCTTGGGAGTTTGAGGCATGAAATTGGAGACCTGGTGGGCAGTTTGGGAGGTGGTTTCTTCTACTSATCCTATCCTACTGCATGGGTCCTGCAGGAGATCTCCTGGTGGCTGCAGTAACTGCAGGAATGTGAGTGGGTGCCTACATTCACCATTTGACATGTCTTAATTTGAATTAGTAAAGAAAGCTGCTGTGCCATTATTTGCTAATTATCAGAACTGTTATATTTGCTACCTGAGTAGCTGCTAAGTAGCACTGAAGGSCCTGTGTAGCTGCTGGGAACATTCATCAGGCAGGAAACTGGAGTTTGCTTGAAGCAACAAGTGGCTCTTCATCYAAGTTCTTCACTCCTCCTCTTACTCAGGAGCAGGCTGCGAGCAGGAAGCTGAGYTTTGTGGCYCCTGTGGCTCATTAAATGAACCAGRACAGATTTTATGAGAGACTTGGGAAGAATTTTGCAAAAGAGGAAACCAGTGGCAGTTGAGCAGAAATTTGTTCCCTGCCAGGTGCCTCTCTCCCCTTTGATTTACTTTCTAACTGTGCTTCTGGCTCTGTGGGCCTTTATTCCCTTTGCAGTGCTGATGGAGACAGGGAACAAGCACAGAGAACTAATTATTGAGTCAGGATTTGTGCTGAGGGGAAAAAAGCCATGGCAGGCCAGGCACAACAGAGGATRGTGCTGTGCTGGTCTTGCTATGGGGTGTCTGGATTCTTTGGAAAGAACATCTGAGCAAAATAGTTGAAAATGCTCTGTGTCATGGGCAGGAGGAACCTGTAATAGATGAGTCTGGAAAGGATAAAGGTTCTCCTGGTGGTGATGTCTTGAAAGTCACAAACAGCTGTCAGCCTAAATCAGACCCCTCTGTTTTTTGTCACTCCTAGTCAGCAAAAGCAYCTCTTCAATGTATGGAGTTCTACCAAGTATTCTACAAGGCTCCAGGCATMACCTGAAATATTAATATGCTCCTTGCCCAGCAGCACTGACCTATATAGTCACAGAGCAAACTGTTCACTGTGGAAGTGTTTGTGCAGTCACATCTGGCCATCTTCAGCTCAAGCTTGGCTGTGTGACCCCTGTTGAGGGGAAGGCASTATCAGTTTATATAGGGAGGCTAGACTGGTTTGGTGGTTTTTGTTGGGTGGGTTTTGGGTTTTTTTTTTGGTAGGAGAGACTGGATTCATGTGTGTCTATACCTGTATTTTACTTTCTCAGAATCATATGTGTAATTCAGATATGTTAAATCTGGTAGAAGGGSAGGGTGGCCTTGAGAAGTGAAGCTGAAGAAAAGCTGGAACTGAGGTGGCTGTAAAACAAAACATGGATATCTTGCTTTGGTAGTGGGTGGCAGGTCTGGTACCATAAGTGAGGCAGTGAAGGAGAAAAGGTGAAACCCTAAACTGTTCAGAAAATAGATAGCTGTCTCTGTGGTGAGAGGTGTATGATCAGTTTTTAGCTCTGGAGTATCTTTTTATAGGCACTGGAGAGTTCTTAAATCTGGGAAACTTTTCTGCCTCATTTCCTTCGAGTGTCTGATGATCTTCCTGATCGAAGGAAGAAAGGATGAGCAACCACAGATGTTTCCCAGAGCATGTGCATTGCTTTCAGGGTTGTCTGGGTTTCAGTTTGAGTTAATTTACTCATGACAAGAGCAAGAAGCTGTGACAGTTTTAAAAACTGGCTATATTTCTTGGACTTTTTGTAGGTTCAGGTAGGAGCCATGCTTTGGTTCTGCCTTATTTTTCATCTGTCATGTTTTTGTGCTGATGTGTGTGAAGGGGATAATAAATGGCAAAAACATTCCAGTTCCAATTAGCTGTTTCTGCACAGTATCAGTTACCTTTACCCAATTCTAGTTAAATTAACCCAAAAGTTGCTTAGATGTAGGCAAATGTTTATCATGATATGATTGATGATTATCATGCCATTTTCAGCAGGAATTATTTGGATGGTTGGGTGATGGGATCAGTTGATTGTAGATGCACAAGGGTAGGGAATTTACGAAAGGAGGAAGGTTTTTTGTGAGTCCGGGTGGACCTTACTTTGATCTTAAAGCACTGAAAATAGGGGGACAGAGAAGGAGTATTCAAAAGCAAACAGGCTACTGACAGCAGGTTTAGTCACTGGGCAGTTGAAGGTTCTGGCACTTAGTATAAATTCAATCTAATTAAAACTAATTAAAAAACCTCACCCCAAGAACCCCCCTTTTTATAACCTTTAGTCTGATATTGTGTATTTATGCAAATTATATCCTCTGTATCAAATGACAATGACATTGTTGCTCTTCAGCATTCCAGAAGTGAATTTATATAGTAAAATGTGCATGGTTTTATAGCTGGCATGTAAATTGGTTTCTTAAATATATTTTTCCATTAATACGAGTTGAATATGTTGCATTTTAATGTATTCTGGGAATACAAAGTTGTTCTCAATTTTGTAGTGAGGAGAATTTCTGAGACTGCATGCAAGTTGTAACATATCCTCACAAAGATTTAAGTTTATAGCCTTTCTCTGAAATGCCTTCAATTATTCTGTGCAGCAGGAAAAGCTTACTCTGGTTACAGAAAGCAGAAATACCCAACTGACCTCTGTCTAAAGAGATTTCCTAGTGACTACCCAGGTTTTGTACTGGGAACAGMTCCTAAACCACTATCAACAGCAAGATGTCTTGTTTGACAGAATAGCTTCAGAGATACCTCCAGTGTTGTCCATTTAGACCTGACACTGCTGTGATCACAGTGATTTACAGAAGGCTTTKCTTTCCTTTGCAGAAACGGAAGGCTTCAAGATCGACACCATGGGCACCTACCATGGAATGACTCTGAAGTCTGTGACGGTGAGTGGAAAGTTTTTGCTTAAATGTTTCATGGACATGATAGTGTGCCTATAAATGTAATAGATTTTTAGAGAGAGAGGTGTCTTGTCCTCCTGGCTTAGGCTCTGGAAGGTCACTTAGGCTGAGTAACAGCATTGGTGAAGTTGTTCTCATGAAAAGACAAAAMGTGTTTTGTTTGATCTGTGTGTTTTAGAGGGCTGTGCTCCAGGGGTTTGTCTGCACTAAAGAAGTGGAGGTGCAGCTGTTTCCTGCTATACTTAACACACCCAGGGTTTTGCTAACCTTAGCAGTGTCTGGGAAGGACATCTTTGATATCAGAAGTGATAAAACTATACTCAGAAAACTGAAGTAATCAAACCAGGTTTTGGAGTATTGCTCTGTTTCCCWCCCTGCATTTAATAAAATAAACTTTTTTGGTGGGGAAGAGTTAGACCTCAGCATTACTGTTGAAGCTTTCTAGCCTGGTGAGATGGACTTCTATTGTATGGCTGTACAATGCTGTCAGTGGGAACTGCAGCATTCACAGATGAGAAAGAGAAACCCTCCAACAGATCCCCTTTTCTTTCTTTGGCCACTGTTTGTCTGCTTTTGTGGAAGTGGGTTGAATGCTCTCAAATAAATGCTGTTTTGATCTGCTGGTAAGTAGGACAGATGCTACAAAACTGCTGTAGTGCCCTCGTTAAGGTTTCTGCCATCTGCATAACGATGTGAATCTGATGAATAGACAGCACTAAACACTCCCCTAAAACCCATGCATTACTTGTAGTCTGCACTGCTCATTTGAACGTAAACAATGTCTTGAGAAGAAATTTCTGAAAATTGAAAAAACATTCAAAGGGTTGGTTTGATAAAAGTTCTTTCCCAACTCTTTCATTCCCAGCTACTCTCAATTTAGGATACTGTAAAAGAAAATGGAAGGGAATATATAAGTAAGGAATCTACTTAATAGTAAATAGTGTCATTTCTAGATGAATTCAGAAATTGATTGGGTGAAGAAAAAAGAGAACCTATGATGTCTGAAGATTTGTTCTTGAATTTTGCACGGATTTTGGGCTGCTTTATGAGGAATCAAACTGTTGTTATATCAAACATAGATTTCTATGGGATATCTGCTTCAAGGGATAGTGACTTGAGATGGGTCGATAGGTTCTGTTTAAATTGCTCTGTGGGGAGGAAAAAGAAAGAAGAAAGAGAAAAGTAGGATTATAATAAAGCAGAAATGTTGAAATGTTTTAAGCTTATCAGTGTAAAATTGGTAAAAGTGAAGGGATTTACAGTAACTAAAAATGATATGGTTTTTTTAAGGTCATAAAAAYAATTAAGGTTTTTTGTTGTATGAATCCTGCCTCATGTATTGAGCATACTGCCTAGAGTTTTGATGTTATTAAACTGTCCTTGTTGGTTTCTTCCATTTAGAAAGAAAATACAACAGATACTAAATTACAAGTAAACCTTTTTTTAACATAAACTAGAATTTTTTAAAGTAAGAATTTAAGAAGTATTGCACGGCTGCAGATAAAGCATCATCTGGTGTCATGAGAAATATTAAAACTCCATCTGTCACTTAGCTTTTGTCTAAGAAAGACCTGGTAAGGGAATTTTGGAGCCTTATTTTCCAGACTRTTAGAAAGGTGCCCTAAATTTTTAGCTCATTCATAAATTTCAGTGACATTGTGGCTTTGTGTTTCACATGGGGGAGAAATAAATCTGTTAATTAKGTTCATCTGTTTTTGTCTAAACTTTGTCATGGTGATGGACCACATAGTTCTAACCCATAATCTCAGATCGTATTTGTGTGTAGAATAGTTAATTTCCTGCCACTTGGCGAGGTTCATATTTTGCTTTTACTCAAGGTTTCTTATGGTTTGTGTTTTTTTTATGCTAGAGAAAATTAGGGAGGAAATGGGAAAGTAATTGCTTCCCCTAGGTATTTAATGGGAAAGTTCTTTATAGTAATTGATTAAATCATAGGAGTATGGAGGATAGCATTGGGATTCATTCCACCTGATGATCTTATCTGCTATCCAATAATGGTATGATCCCTCCATGAACTCATCAAACATTCCAAAGGAATTGGAGTGTTAGGTAGCTCCTGGTTAGAGGTTCTCTTYWAACTTCAGACCTGATTTCCAGAAGRATGCTGACATTTGGAAGCTTCATTTTTACGCCATTGTTCTTGACATGGTGGCTCYTCCATTTTTTCTGTGGTGTTTGCTTCCATTAATGTATTTCTAGAGAGCAGTCAGATTCCCTAAAAAYTCATGCTTCTTACCTGCAGTGTAGAATCATCCATTGTTTGGAGTTGCCACCTGCTTCTCATACAAAATTTGTAAAAGGTTTCTTTGTTTTGTGGTGTATTCCCTTCACTTGCACTCTGCCTTATTGTAATTCTCTGTAATGATTTTTATGAAATGTGCAAAACTTCTGTTTTGTGTTTGTTCTTGCTGAAATGTGAGCTGTCCTAGATGCTTGTTCTTTTTAACAGCAAAACAAAAACTTCTTCATCTTGACTGCTTTCTTTTCATCAGTGATGTTGGAAACTTTCTTAGCATTCAGAATTTGTGCCAGAACAGATGGTGAATGGTGGGCTTTTTCTGAAGTAATGTCAGCTAAAATAACTTGTGCTGCTGGCACTTCTTCCCTGTAACAGGGTTTTTGCTTAATTGGCACACTTTCTCTTAGGAAGAACTGACTTATTTATTGAATTTTTATTGTGAAGGCATGATCTCATTATTCTGGATCTGGAATTGTTTATAGCAAGGCATTTTCCTCAGAGAGTTTCTTTAATTTTTTTTTCCTTTTTTTTTTTTAATACCTGTGGCACCTTCTATTTGCCTGGATTGATGATGTTTTGGAAAATTAGTCAGTGGTAGCTCTTGCTGTCTGGTTTTCCAGCAGTTCATGTAGCAAATTGTCCAGCACGACTTTTCAAAACCCCCAKTCTCCCTGCAGGCTTCACTTCCCAGCATCATCCCCTGCATAACATCATAATTTGTGGTTTTTACCTAGGAAGGTTTGCTGTTTGAGGTGGGGCAATCTTTGGGAGATAAGTGTGTTTGTATTTCTGTACCACGCAGGGTGTGAGGTATTGCTGAGGGAGGATCTTAAACTGATACTCTGAGCATATTCTTTGTTACTTGTAGAAATTGGGGCATTGGCCAATTGCTATTCTAAAGGGAAATRTTATCTTGGAGCCTAGGCCAGTGTCATCTAGTGGAAGCCTAGAAGGTGGGTCTCACCTTTTATGTATAATAAATTGAATTTTGGACTATTTGTATCTGTAAGTAGAATATGTGAAACAGCCTTTAGCTGTAAGCTTGAGATGTAAAGATCGGAACAGACTGGTTATCTGCACCCAGGGCAGGAGAGGGAGGAGTTGCATGTTCTGTGAGAACCTGATAAAGTTGGCTGTGGGTTCTGAACTCTTCTGAGCTTGGGGCATGCTTTGTATTGACTGTGAGCACGTGCAAATRATATTGGGTTATCCATGACAACAATAGTCATGGTGATGCTGGTTTTACTCATCTTGGTGCTTCATTTTCTTGAGTTCTCGCGGCTTTAATATGAAAGAAAGGAATAGCATGAAAGCCTGGGGGGTGATTTGCTCTGAGTTCTGAGAGSCCTGGCTAGTCAGGAGCTGTGATTCAGGGCGCTGTGAACTTGTGTTCAAGTGAACAAGAACTACATTGCACTGCAGTAAGCCCTTGTAGAAATTATTTTGTTGTCTCTCCTAATTGCTGGAAAGCTCTCCTGTTTTCTGCTGGGGTTTCTTTCAGCATTCAGGGCTGCTGAAGCTTGGGAGCTTCCTTTGTCTTTGGTTTTTGCTGCTGGTAATGGAATCTGTCATTGATAATCTGCACTCATAAGCAGCCAGAGCTGCTGTTGGCATTTCTTTCTCCTCCTGTTCAATAAACAGGCAGATACAGAACTCTTGTAGGGATGGAGCTGGTGGCCTTCCCAGACAGTGTGGAGCTACACCTGCATCATCAGTGTAGTCATTGAGGGCTTCAGTGGAGGCACTTCACTTAAAACAAACTCAAATGCACATTTCTGTGCTCTATTCAAACTTTGTAAATAAGAAATTCTGTGTAAATTGTAAGTGCTTCTGAGTTCAATGATGTTTTTCCTTCAGACTGACAAAAGTAACTTTTTCTATTGTACGCTGCCAGGCTTTACAGCAATCTCTGGGTAAAAGTACCCTCAGCAAACATACGAGAATATCAATAATTAAAGCAAATGCATTACATTTCAGTTGCAACAAATACATTTCATAGTCCCAACAGAAAACAACTAATTAAAAAGGAGTCCTTATGTAAGCCACAGTTACAAGCAGGTGTAATTTCAGAACAATTGAAGACTTGTTCTGCACCCCTAAGGTCAGCAGTRTTTTTCATCAGTTTATGGTCAGTATCAGATTTGGGGCATTATTTAATCAAAGGGTGTTACTGTTATTGCCCTCAGAATTTTTTGAGTTTGATATAAGCTCTATATTTTTTTTTAACTTAGACAATCCATTTAACCACCTCTGGCATATTTTCAAAGCARTAGTGTGCAGTACAATGAAGGGAATTGCATCCACTTTACAGATTGGGCCAGTGGAAAGGAAGCAGTTGGGGCAGAAGCAATCAACATGGTGTGTGCATGGATTTTATATAAAAGACTTAAGATAATTGACATCTACTTCTGTGTGAGTAGGTAAATCAACAGGATCTTAAAACTGATTGTGAGGAATTAAGATTGTGATTCAGTGCCAAAACTCAAAATGACTTTACAGAAGCATATGGCGGAGTTGATGTTGTCTCTCAGTGTTCAGATAAATAGCACTTAACTTTAAAAAGGAAATAAAAACTTAATACCTCTTTAATATTGGAGATGGAAGAGAAGTACCTACTTATCCACATCACCAGTTTTCTGTGTCATGTCCTAATCTCATTAAAATGTTGAAGGACAGTGGGATTGAGGGAGGAATCAGCAAAACAATGAACTCTTTGAAATGTTTG